TACTTATGAACTATGTACTCATTTGCTGCTTGCCATAATTTGCTAAGCCTTGTCAAGTAGAATATAAAACAAAATACTTTTTTTAGGATTTATATATGCATTCTGAAATAACAAAAAAATCATAAATTACTATATCAGTACTAAAGAATTACACTATAATTTATCAAGCTTAGTAACTAAGCTATATTTGGGTCTAAAAAATGACTTTTTTGAGCTCACTAATGTCTTACCTTACAGTTCGGAATCTAGCAAGAACAGAAAGAGTTTTCCATGTAAATACTTTGTAGAGGCTTAGAAAACCATGTAGAGGACATTCTGAGCTTTTGATTGGTTATTCACATGTCATAGACAGAAGTAGGTGAATGTAAGCATTTCCAAAAATGGAAAGAGGTGGGCAGAAGTGCCACTGTGTTTGATTTATTACATGAGCAATACCTTATCAAATAGAAAAGATCAGACCTTCTTATTTTATATTCTAGCTTTTCAATATCAGCAATTTGAGTTTTTAATTCGTACGAAACTATAGACTTAGTATTTGATTTCAAAAACATCTAATCTGAACCAGTGCTGCATTCAACATACCATGAGACACACAAAAATAGATGTTTATCGTTTTTTTAATATTTATTTTTAAATTAAGAATTTGAGTGATGTATAGTACTAAAATTTGAATTATAATCTAGTTTGATACCAAATTTATTGACATAAATTCATGAAACAGTAGTTCAATAAAATTTTGAATGTAAGTCAACAAACGATATGACATGTCCTTTCACCCATGACCCGTTTCGAAAGAGTTAACAATACATTAAAAATTTATTTTTATTGATGTGTATACTTTATAAAAAAGAAAACATGATAAGCACATAGAATAGCCTTAAATCAAGTAAGTTATATACATTCAGCCAATTTAGCTTTACACTTGAAATGATCTTCTATATATACAAATATTTTTTGTGAAACATTTCCGAGAGCAATCTCAATTATATATATAGAAATGTATACAAAATTATTGAAACAATAGTTCACGTACTAGCCAGAAACAGCTATACTTGAAATTATTGTTTATATTTGTAAAGAGAAAAGACAGAATGGAGAAGGGAGGCAATATCACCATCATCTCTGTTAAATGTTTTGTTAACAATTAGACAATCAAACCAGCACACAAAAAACATAATCCAGCATATTAACCCAAGAATATTAAATTTTATCCAATAACAGTGACAATTCTCAAGCAACAAACAAAAATATTGCTTTAAAAATACATAACCACACCTTTACGTAAACAACAAACATTTAAATCTAAGAAAATATAATACGTAATTAGCAATTTAGGAGATAAGTTTTATTTAAGAGACAAATAAATTGTAAACTAGTTTCAATGAAAGAAAGAAGCAAATGTGTTTTAAGTAACTAACTAAAAACAAAAAAAAAACAATGCACACAAGAAACAAACTCACATTCAAAGAATCGCATCTAATAAGTTTGGCTAAATCTACAACAGTTCAAAAACAGTAGGCAGATGAACTGACCCATACTTTATAAGCTCGGACAATACTAAACACATTAAGTTCAACTTTTGCTAAATGGTCTTAGAACAGATGAAGCTTTCTGTTTTTACCTGGGATTCTCAACAAGTCTTCTAAAGAAATATGTCCATGTGATGTAGTCCAAGGCATTTTGTTTGGAAGTGATGGTTCCTGCTACAATCTCTGCATTTAAATGATCTGGTAGTACTTGCAAAAGACTGAAAAAAATTATAGGTACTTGAAATCACAGAAAATGTATTGTAATAATTAAAATTATAACATTATCAGATTAAATGTAAAAATTTTCATAAAATAGCTTTAGCAGTAAGCCTTAGAATACCCACTCTACTAAAACAACAGTCTTCTAGCTAAGCTAAAGAAGTTTCATTTCAAAGATGAAAGGAAAAATCATAGAAGATTTATTATATAAAATAGTATTTTCTTAAAGCAGTTCAACTTACAGAAATGATTCTTTTGCTCATCTATATACAATTTTGTCAATTTGTTTTCACTATTGCTACCCCCTTTCTACAGCTCCTATTTGGCCCCCACTTAAAATTCTTTAAAAATACAAGTTTAGGGAGAATTTATATTAATACCCCTAAATCTTTGATTTACAATTGGGGTAAATACATGATACATGGTATTTTCTCCTCTTGGCATAGAATTTTTTGTTTGAAGATCACAAATATTGTGTGACTAATAATATATATAAGAAATAAATATGGAAAATACAAAATCATACATATTACTTTTTCTTCCTCCTATTTTCCCTTCAAGTCATTCAGGGTATCCTTATTCTTTACCACTCATATAAGCTAGTTTTGCCACAAACAAGAATTGTTTGCACAACATCTGCTATAATGAAATTTAATTCTTAACTCTCTCACCACAGGTAGGTCAAAATGCACATGTCACAACCTTTTACAGAGTAACAATCAAAATTTAATCAAACTACTTTATTACCAATTCATAGGAATAATTTCAGCATCAAAACATGACTAATAAATCAAATTTTAATATGATTTAAGTTCTTAATTTTATAAGGAAATATTTTTTCAAATCCTCAATCTCCCCAAGTATGAGAACTGTGACATTTGTCATCTATGTCTTCCTTTTTCTCTACAGACGTATGTAATTCAACATACATTGCTCATTACAATATAAATACTACTAAGGTAAAGTCCAATTTTAATAGCCTTTAATCTTGTTTGTTTACAGACTCATAAACTAGAAAATCAGACCCACTTGCAATGCTCACCAATCATATCTTCTCTTTCACAAATTGTTAATAGTTCGCTCTGATGTTTTATACTATATTATTTATAACCAACAGAAAGTCAAAGTTTTAATTTATCAAATTATGTATTATATTACACAGTTTTCTGTTCTGAGCATTGTTTATTGTCTTCAGTTTGAAACTTTTTCTCATGGTATTCAAATCGACAAACTTAGCTGAATTTATAAAGGCTCTTATCGCAAAGCCAGATAAATTATGATAGTTATAGGAAATTGTTTGCTTCATGCATGTTATTATTCTGTGTGCTTAGGTGCATTATTTAATTAGATAAAAATTATTTATTCAAGTATTTAGTATAAAAAGGAGGCTTAAGTTTTATTGACAGTTGATTGCAAAAACACAAGAGGACACAAGTAAATATTATATTTCTTGTTTTTGTGAATTCTTCATTTATTGTTATAAAACAAACTAAAATGTAAAAATTAGAAACTTAATAGGTTAGATAAGGTTGGATTAGGTAAGATAATGAATAATAATAAGTAGGAAAACAATGATTTACAAGCACAAGGAAGAATTTTATTGATGGTGGAACATACTACATGTTTCAACAGAACAATGGTCTGAAGAAGACAAACCAATGTTCTGTTGAAACATGTAGTATGTTCAACCATCAATAAAACTCTTCCTAATACTTATAAATCATTGTTTGGGTACCTATTATTATATTAGCATAATATGCTTCTTTACTCAAGTATCAAAGATAATGAATAATAATAATAATAATTCTTTACGAGGTATGCTTGCTAGCACCTCTTGCATTACATCATTCAGTACGATAATGTGAGTGAGCAACACATTCACCGAGTGATTTACAACTTGTGTGGCAGGATTATTAGTTAGGCACAGTTCAAAGGGTAAGGAAACAATAAAATTAAGCATAAATAGATGTAGACTGTTACGGGTGTTTTAAGCTATTTAGCATACACAACTGTAGTTTCCTGTTACAATTTGCAGTCATTCTAAAAAGAATAAAAAAAGAGAGTAATTTAAATTTATTTCACATTTTTTTATGGTGGTTACAAATTCAGTCAAATCAACCAAGTCCATATAAGGTTAGGGTGGAGAAAATAAGAAATAAAATATAGTTGTACAGAAAAAAAAAATTATATTCATTTAGGAGGTTTTAGAGGTTATGAAAATGAAATCTGAAAATTCTGAGATGAAGAAAAGTATTTTTAATCTTAACATTGTTAATCACTTTGCACTTGGAGAAGTTAGCATCCTGACACCATATATTTATGAAAAAATCTTTAGTAAAAACACATAATTAAAAAATCTGAATTTCTGTGTACATGTAATGTTTACTAAAAGCTTGCTAAGTTTCATGAAGATACACAAAACATAGTAAGAGTTACAATACAGAAACTCGGATGGTTACTTTGTGGTTACAAGAATGATCATTTCAATCGACCCCCATATAGAAATAGTTAAACAGTCTCAGCTACTTTCATGTTTTATCTAGACCTGGAAAAAGTTTGATTTGAAGCAGATGTTGTGTGTGTAACACAACACTGTTCCAGAGAGATTTCTTTACTGGAAATGAACCTGCTGAATACATGTAACTACTTTTTTTGCCAATGGAACATTTTCTGACTGGTTACCATATAGCTTTAAAACATCCTCACAAAGTGCAAAGCTATTATTATTTTTTCAGCCAATGGTATTCTTTCCTTGTTACCTTAGTTTTATTTACACTAAATCATCTTTAAATATAAGTTAAACTGAGAGACAAAACCAAGCAATTTAGGCAATTAGTCCAGTAGAATAATGCCTCTTTCTTCCACTTCCTTTGAGTTTTATAATGCTATTTCAATGATGATTGGCTCATTTCCATATTACTAAGTTCTGTATACAGCATTTATGGGTTCTTCTTTTTAAATCTTTTAGAATTGGGCCAGATGAATACAAAAAAAGTTTAGTTTTGCTCCAAAACTGCTGTCCCTTTAGGCAATCAATAATTCTTCTGTACTAGGCATTTTTCATGACCTGCTTTTTCCATATTTGGTAAAACTGTCAAAAATTAGTCCTTCAACCCACTGTACTATTCAAGTAATGTTCATACACATACACACACTAAAACAAAACACAGAAACTTACACTGAAATAACACTAGCAAATGAGAGTGCAGGTCCAGGACATCTTGACATTTCGATGATCTTCCCAATAAGTAGAAGATAATCAACTTAAATAAATCTATGACAAAACTTTCAATATACAGCTGCAAATCCAGCTTAAAAACCATTGGGAATTGTATGACAGTTACATTTCCCAATGTTAATTAATAATGGTCCTTTTGTTTTATGAAATGGGTTACATTTTCTGTGCAATGATAATCTAGCTTCTTCTAGTTGTTCATAAGTCATGCATTGATAATGATAAGTAAAGCTGAGTCATAATAATGAGTGATCACAAATTTATGAGTATGTGATCAAACTGTAAATGCATATCAAGCTACTTTTTAACATGGTTTAATCAACAATAAGAGTAACATGCTTTGTATATTATACAAAGCTGTTTATTTTAGCATAAATAAAAAAGTTTAGTAATGTAACAAGATATTCTATTACAATCCATATCTAAGTCTTTTTCAACACTTGATTCACAAACCATAGATATAAAAAAGTTTCCAATTCAATTGTAAGTCAAAAACTAGTAGTCCAACTGAGCAATTCTCAATCTCCAAAATGTTCAGCATGTAACACTACATCTCAATGAGAACTACTCCATGAAGAATAACTACCTGGATAATAAATTACACCAATGCTATTAAAACTCAACTTGTACTGTCTTCTAAATATTGTAATTCTGCTTGCAAAACTTCTCCCAACCCTGTATTGCTGCATAAACATAAAAATATATGTTATAAAACTAATCAAAAGAACAGCTTTCAAAGAACATGATGTTTCAATATTTAACACAGCATCTGAATAGAAATATTTCAAAGATGAAAAACTACTATCTGTAGTGTATACTCCAACACTGTCATCAATGGTGAACTTTTAGTCTTTTAGATATAGCAATCCTAGTAAAATGTTTTGTGACTATCCAAGATCACATGTAAAGATTTTTTGCATGATACATAACATACTTCATTCATGTCATTCTAAGCATTTTGTTCACTACCTTCAGTTTCATTGAGACAAGTACTTGGTTTTATACTCTTATGCATGTTTTCTATTCAGAAAACACAGTTAGCCTGCAAGAGATCATTAGTACACATTTCATAGTACAAATGAAATGTCAAGTGATAAACTATGGTTGATTCTTTTTTCTTTCTATGCTCAATGTTTACATTAGTTACATAGAACACAAAAATATGGAAGATTAATTTTATTACTAGATGTCCACAAATAGCATACCATGAAAGAATAAATTTTCAATAGTCTTATTATAAAGTATAAGAGAAGTGAAAATAATATCATATTATAGGAAATTATATAGATCAAATAAAGCAAACTAAAGGAAACATAAAAAACTTGTAATAAAATTAAAAATGACAAGATAACAACTGTACATCAAATTTCTATAAAAGATATATATACAAGATACGAATGCTGCCCCATCAATCATAAAACAACAGTGGTAATGATTTATAAAATTTAACATATAACATACACAGCAATCCTCTACATAAAAAACATGGTACTTGCCAATCAACTATAAAAGATTGTTTGTTTGTTTTTTGAATTTTGTGCAAAGCTACATGAGGGCTATCTGTGCTAGCTGTCCCAAATTTAGCAGTGTAAGACTAAAGGGAAGGCAGTTAGTCATCATCACCAACCACCAACTCTTGGGCTACTCTTTTACCAACGAATAATGGGATTGACTGTCACATTATAATGCCCCCACAGCTGAACGAGTGATCATGTTTGGTGTGATGGGGATTCGATCCTGCAACTCTCAGATTGTGAGTCGAGCGCCCTAATCACCTGGCCCTAACTATAAAAGAAATTTAAGTTGCTACCCTACTAACTACATAAAAATAGCTAGTACCAATTATTTCAAAATGCTAACCAGTGAAGTATGTAATAACCTTAAAGGTAACTTCTGAATGTTACCTTCTCTGCTATGTAACAACCTTGTAAGTCCTTTAAAAATCTTAGTCCACATTTTAGTTTCTTTTATATAAAATTACACAGTAACAGTGAATTAGGAGTTGATATTGAACACATACTACCGTTGAAAATAAGTCAACATTTTGTAATATTTGTACTACTGTCGAAAAGAGTTATTTTTTTGTTACCATTTCTATATTCAGAACTGTATCCAACACATACCTAGATTCCACAGGAAAAGGCTCATAAAGGAACTTTTTGTAGAAGTGTTTCTTAATATCATGAACCAAAATAACAGCAACTCCTTGATCATCAAACTGTGGACGTCCTGCTCTTCCCATCATCTGTAGAACATCTGTTGATACAATACAGAATTTTAATAAATAAAGTAATAAAAAAAATGATAATGACCATTAATTTAATGCATTAATGTGTTTTCTAATGACACTTTTTTGTGTCCCAGTCACCACATTAAATAACACTTTATGTACTTACAAAAAATATTCATCACATTCTGTCAAAAAGAATAGAGATCTTTTGAATATAGGAAAATGCAAAATGTTCACACATGATGTTACATAATGATTATGTAAGTTCATTTCTTCAATGACTAGTAACAGATATTTTCACATCACAACATACAAAGTAAACTGATCTCTTCCATTATTATCAGTACATACTTATATTGTGTGATGACAGTTCAAGGTTTCTCTTATTGTGTCAAACAGTCTTACACTAAAAATTATCAGAATGTTAATACCAGGTTTCTTATTAAAAAAATATGTAATAAAACTTCCAAAAAGAACTACATGGACAATTCAAAAATGCAAGGCCAAGACATTTGCATATGACATAACTGAAATACCAAATTCTTTGAATTGCTGGTGCACAAAAATATAATTAATAGAAGAAGAAAAAAAAAAAGGTCTCGCAGACTTATTTACTCTATTCCTGCCTAAAAGAATTTCAATTCCCACAGCTACTGAGGATTCCCTCTTGTTTTGAAATGAAAAGGTTAAAACATACAAACATTTGAATTATAATCTACAATTTTATGCCAAGTGTATTGACATACATTGATAATAAAGTTGTTTCATCAACTTTTGAGTGTAACAATGTAAAAGATCATGACGAGGGCTATTTTTACCCAACTGCTCTTAAAGGATTAAACAGTTTTATAAGGTTTCTAATGCGCATAACAGTTAGTTGTTCTCTAATCAGTGAGAACACAAATAAGCAGAGTTTAGTGTTTCACAACAGTTACTTGTGGTCTCTACTACATGAAATAAGTCATAGGTGTTCTTTATTGTTTTACAACAAAGATTTAGCAATCCACTGTTTAGAAACAGAAGTGGGTATTTTATTGTTTGAGAAAAAAAGCTAGGGATATTTATTAGTTGACAAAGGAATAAGATCTTTATTATGGGACAACAGATATGAGTGGGCTTGAATGTATAACAGCAGGTAGCCTAGATTCTCTCTCCTTAGAATATGCCAAAAAATCCTTTTCTGCATGATTCAAATCAGTAAAAATTTTGTACAAAGTGTAAACTATATGAGCCTCATTAAAGTAACATATTTTAATCTCATGTTACTTATTCATACTAAGCCATCAATAAGACATTATTAAGGAAAATGACCTCATGAATAGCGAGAGGTTGCTAAAAAAGTGTATACTTGAATTTAGAAAAAAAACTGTAATAAGTATGTGAATTCTTACAAATCAAAATATAAATTTTATTCATTTACACCATAAATATTATGGAATCAAACTTTTATGCATAAAGCTATCATCTTACCAGTAATAGGAAAATCAACATAACGTTGAGTCTTTCCATCATAATATTCTGTTCCCTTCACAATTACAAGGTGAGCTGGAAAATTTACACCCCATGCAAGGGTGGCTGTAGCAATCAGCACCTATAAGCAAAAAAATTATAATTCAATAACTCTAAAATGTAGCTGCTGGCTCTAAGGAAAATAAAATCAACTATTTGGAAAAATGGTATTTTATTTTAAATGCTACTATTTCTGCTATTTCTTTAAATTGGTCTCAGGTGGTTTCTATATTGATGTGCCACACAAAACAAAATAATGAATATGAACAGTAGTTCTTGGTTAATTTCTCATACACACTGACCAGAATTATATATATAGATTATTTATGTTATATAATACTGAAACTAAATATTCTTAATATTCATTATTGTACAGTAACATAATTTTTAACCCTTTCAATCCCAATAGAGTCACAATATGTCATTTCAACACACCTATTTCTTAAGATCACAAATAAAAACTAATGAATTTAGTAAAAACTTTCTTAATAATATCAGATAGACAAATAAACAATTATACATGATGATTATATATGTGTTACAGATTTCTTTTCTTTCTCACCAAATGTAAAATTAAAAAGAGAACCTGTGATTTCAAGGCCTAATGCCTTCTTAGATCGGCTGTATCCTCTGCTGTGGGCTGCAGTTTCACCTATTCAAAGTTCAACAACAGAGCTTGGGCTAGCAAACCAAAGAAATACAGTTAGGCCTTTTATAACATTGATTTTATATAACATTTATGACATTTTTAAGTCCTTTTCAATCACCAATAAAGTAACCTAAAATAATTTAGGTGTATGATTAAGTCATAGATTTCTTTTCTTTCTTACCAAATGTAAAATTGAAAATAGAATCTGTGACATATAGGCCTAATGCTTTCTTTGATTGGCTGTACCCTCTGCTGTGGACTGTACTTTTGACTATTCAAGCCTCATAAGCACAGATTGAGATAGAAACCAAAGAAATACAGTTATGCCTCTTATAACAATGATTTGTATATAAACATTTATGGGGTTCTTAAGTCCTTTTCAATGACCAATAAAGTAACCTAAAATAGTTTATAAAATTTACCAAGTAACCATTATATAATTGTTATAAAAATCAAGTTAAATGCAGATTTTTTCCCCCCATTCTTCTTAATTTGTCTACTGAGGCTCAAAATCATTTAATTTAGTTTTTATAACACTTTTTAGCCTTACTAATTTCAAATAATTTCTCAGTTTGGGGAGTTTAAACCTTAATGATTACCTCAGATCAAAATATAATTTTCACATCATCATGGGGGAGAAAACCTTTCAATTAGAATTACATTTTTAAGTTAAACTTTGAATGCAGAAGTGTAGTTCATATGGAATGAAACTGTGTAACATAAGTAATGAAGGTCTTAATGCTCTGTTCAGGTGATTTCTTTAAAACAGGATGAAGAAATTTCTTCCATGATAAACACTTTAAAATAGTAAAAAAAAAAGTCTAAAAATATTCTAATGTTAATAACATTCTCTTTAACTAGCCTCCTAATTACATATAATTCAGACACTGACCACTTTCATCAAGTTTATTTCAAATGTTATAATTTTCCTTTCCTGAAAATGTATTTCCGATAGACATTCATCTCCTCACACAGTTTAGCTATCTTCCCCGTGCATCTGCCTTAAAGATTTGCATACCACTAACCTTCTCCCACCTAATTTCATGAGATTTTAAGTGAACTACATTACTGCATGATGATACCATCATGTGACAAAAGCCTTACATTTATATAAGAGGGCGACAAACCTCCATACACATTAACTTGCACTCCAGGGTTTTCAATCTTCGACACGACAAGTGGGAAAACTTCTGAAACTAAACCTCACCACTGTATATAATTTTGCTAGAATTTCATGTTGAAGTGGTGGAGGTGACAGTGCAAATTATACTTAGCTAAGCTGCCTTCAGAAAGTGCCTAAAAGAAGTGACATCTGATGGCAGAGGCTCCATAAAGGCAAATATGTGGGAGACCACACCATGTCTTGTCCAGGGTATATTCTTCACCTGGACAGTAAAGGAGGAAGAGGCAAAAGAGTTCCATGTTTTGCAGGGATTGGGGGAAAGAACATGAACTTCTGAGTATTTGTACACAAGTAGTTGGAGAACCAATATGTGTAGTAGAGTTGGGGCATGTTCAAACCGTACCTTGCGTGCTAACCTATAATCCACCATTTGACTCTATGGGACACACTACAACTGTGAGAGGAAGGCACACTATTCATCCCATTGAATTCAAACGTAGTGTTTAGACCTTGACTCAACTGGATAGACAATGGCTGAAGGAGGAGGGCACAGCACATATGTAGTAGTGTTACATACAGTGAGTACTCACCTTGACTCTACAGAATAGATACCGTCTGTAGGAGGAGAGCACAGAATCAGAGTGCATGCTTGCTTTAACTCAACTGAACACACTCAGACTACAGAAGGAGAGAACATTATATGTGGCATGTGTAGAGAATACAAGTGATGACTTGCACTATGCTGACAGTGTCACCACCATCTCACTCCTACCACATTAATGCTCAGTTGTATTCCATTTAAATGTATACCCCCCAACCAGCCAGGGTTCTCCCTGGTCCACTATCCAAGCAGCTATGAACTGGTAGGTGGCCAAGGTCTCCCGTGCTTTACTTTATAATAGGGGGGGGGGGGGCAGTTGGGAGAAAGTGCCCAGATCCCCATCAATCCTTCAGTTCAGAGAGATCTTTTACTTGAGACTTAAAACCATATTTTTAAAAGCCAGCAAGCAAGCCAGAAAATTGGGCAAAACACTTCTCTGGTACTAGCTTTTTCCATGATAGTCCACAGAATTAGTATGGCCTGGATCAGGCAATTCAGTAAATATACATAGATATATCACTAGGATACATCAAATGGTTTTATGGAACACTCCATCTCACAGTGAGTACATGTAGAGCCAGAACAGATGGTATGAGTGCTTTCAATTATACTGGTTTGATGCAGATTTTGGGTAAGTATATCCTGTGATTCACCCTGGTATCCTATGACCGAAAAGGGGGCACTGAAAATGAAACAGTACATATTTTTTAGTCTTCTGAAAGAGTATGGGATGATAGAAGAATGTCAACCATTGCAAGCCAAAAACCAACAGGAGATAAAATAGCCAGAAGGTGTAGAGAAGGAGATGAATGTGTGGAGAAAGTCCACATGCCTGCCTGGTGGAGCTCATCCTAGGGCTGGTGAAGAAAAGATATAATAGAATGAAACAGTTATGAACCAAATGTGAAGAAATGTGAAAAAGTGTGTGAGCATCCACAAGTCAAAACGCACATGCTAACAAGAGGAGTTGATGGATCTACCCAGTTAGGGGAGAAGGAAGGTCTGTGAAAAATAGAAGGGACCCAGGAAGAGATAATGAAAGGGAGAGGTCTGTGAAAATACATATAAAACAGCCTAAAAGGACACAAAAGCATATCTGGGTCCAAATGGTTCAACAGATGAGAGACAGAAGGAGGGGGAGATAGGGGAGAAGTACAGGCTACCTCCCAAATGGTGGAAGGCTGAGGAAAGAAAGATCATTCTGACAAGAGAGATATAGAAGAGGGTGCAAAAAGTATCTAAAGGACAGACATCTGAAAAATGGTAATAGTGGGTGAGAAGGAGAAGGAAAGAAATCAGGAGAGAAAGATGATACAAAAGGCAGGAAGTCAACAGCTTGAAAAATGGAACATGCATAGGAATTTGATAAAAAAGAGGAGTAGAAAAGAGTGCAGAAGACAGAAGAAAAACACTGCAACCAAGAAAGAAGAAGAAAAGCCATAGACAAAGCCTCCAAACTACTAGTAAAGGTAAAGACTAACAAGCCAATGATGAACAGTCATGTACAACGAGCAGAAAGGTGGATCACAATATAACCTCCAAGAGGAAAGAAGTGGCAGAAGAAACAATGACAAAAGACTCACTACAGTTGGCTACAAGAATAATTCTATATAAGTGGAAAGACCAACTGGACAGTTTACAGATTGAGCAAAGTCCATGTGTAAGTATGAAGGAAAATAATCCTCAATAAAGAAGGGATGCATGAGGTTGAAGCAAAAGAGAGGCAAAATTGGGGAAACGGGGACGAGTGACAAGTGGACCAAGGCTGAGCTAGGCAAAGAGGTTCCAAAAACATGACCTGAGGGAAGGTAGTGTGAAAAGATGAAGGCCAGAGGAAGGAGACAAACAAGGGAATGGGCATATAAGAAACTACAAGACCAGGTCTTGCTGAGGAAAATGACATCCATAGCCAAAGAATGAAAAAAGTGGACCATAAGGGAGTAAGCCCAGAGTTGCGAAGGGCAGTAAATGTTTCCAAGTATGAAGTGTCCAACCAAAAGCAAACCCCATGAAAGACCTGAGGATGTGGAGATCACTCCATTCATAGAATGTGGACTGATTAAGGGAGGAAGTCTGCCACCAAGATTTCAGTTATTGACAAAGGATAAGCAAGATCAACCTAATGCAAATAGGCCCAAAGGTACGTATCTAACACCTGAAAGCAAAAGGACATGGAACAAAAGCCTCATGGACAGTCAGAACAAGAAATGGCCATGGAAGAGACTGAGTGGAACATGAACAAGTGATCCATCAGTAGAGGCAGGAATTGGAACATGCACAACAAATAGAAAGAAGGTCAAGCATGTTGATGTGAAGTGAACACATGAACATCATCTAAATGTTAGAAGTCTTGCCATCAACAGATATGTGCTTCAACAGAGAAGGAAGCATTTAAGAAGGGAGAGATCCACTTGAGAGACAGTAAGGGAATGCATGAAGTAGTCTGGGCATGGTTTAATCACCATGATAATTCTTCAAGACAATTCTCACCAAAGAGGACAATGGACCTCAAGAAGGAAAACCTAAAGGGTCATAGTAGGAGACACAAATGCAAGCCCCAAAGGAATGAGGGGTTCTAGGAAGGCCAGAATCCCCAAAAGTGAAAGAACCTTATGTGCAGAAAGAGAATGAGAAGTGTAAAACCTGATGGCCAGATACGTCATAGCTTGCAGGTGAAGAAGACGGGCTGACAAGACAAGAAGAAGAAAACACCCAAAGATGCCAAACACTGGGCGGGTGTGAGAAAGGATACAGATCCCAGGGTATGTCCCTTCCAATTGAGTAGCTGTAGGAAAGGAAGGAAGGGAGGTAGGAGAAGAAGAAACATCTGAGAATGGGCTAACTGAAGAAAATAATCCAAGATAAGGAACACCAGTTTTGGACCAAGAATATGGCACGAAAAGGGAAGAGCAAGGAGCATGAAAAGGCAAAAATGAACAACAACAAAAAAAAAGAGTACAAAAGAAGGACAGACTGAGAAAGACGTATATGAAGGTATCTGAAACATTGACCATGACCAACCACAAAGCAGTGGTCAGAAAAGGAAGAAAAAAAAGGCAAGGTAAGAGACGAAGGTGAAAAAATGTAAAATGACTCTTGGCAGAAATGGAGACCTACGGCAGGAGAAGAGATAGATACTCACTGAATCATATGTGTGTGACAGTAATTGACAATTTCATTAAGGAACTAGACTTCTGGAAGATGAGAAAAAGAGGAAAGCCTGGTATCTGGAAGGGAAGATGAAAATGATACAGATCTAGATGAAGAATAGGAGTAATAGGCAAGGTCAAGAAAAAGGAAAAAGACTAGGAAGATAACAAGAAGTTGTATAACATTAGACCAGGTCTGCATTGTACAAATTTGAGCAAAGAAAGTGAACCAGATAAATAAGAAGTACACAAGAAGAAAAAAGGGGTGCAGAAAAATAACATAACCCGACCCAATGAGTCCTGGCAGCAAGAGAAAAAAGCAGAGAGGGCTACAAACGAAGAAGTATAACAGACTAAACAGAGAGGGGAATGAATGCCTAGATAAGCCATCAAAAGTAGGAAAAAATGTCTCAGATAAAAGGCAAAGTTAGGAGAGGAAATATCAAAAGCTAGAAAAAAAAAAGACAAAAAATGCGAAAATAAAAAGTAAAAGGGCATGATTTTCAAGCTGGCCAGAAAGATACCAATTACAGGAAATTGAGAAGAAGAAAGAAAGAAATTCTACCTATCAGGAAAAAAATGAGTCACAAACATTAGGGAGATGAGGCATTTGGGCATCAGAAGGGAGCTATTAGAGAAAGAAAACAGCATAAATCCTAAGAACTGTGGGTGATAAAGTGAGAAAATAAAAAATAATAAAGAACACAGGTAAAATATAAGAAAGGAAAATATCTGAGAAGAACATCCAGTTCATTTTTGACTGTTTAGAAAGAAATCCAGCTGACAGGACAAGAGTAAGAGGCCCATTAAGCATGTGGTAATCCACAACATGTTGAACAATGGCTCCAAAGACCTTGACAGTTAACGAGCCTACAAAAACCACTTTAGAAAGAAGGCCTAGGTGTCATCAATGTTACATATTCAAGACAAACTATAAATCACTGTTCTTTAAGAAGTCATGATAAAAATTAAAGCTTTTGAAATATAAGCCAAAGAAAACAAAAGGCAAAGTTGTGTTAATGATGAAAATCTCATTAACCCTACCAAGACAGATCTGACAGGTCTTCCTATGGCCACAGGTCCAAGACCATGTCATCTCATTTGCAGACTTACATTAAAAATTTTATTGAACTAATATTTTATGAATGTACGTCAATAAGTTTGGTATCAAATTGTAGAATATAATTCAAATTTTAGTATTATACATAAGTTAATTTTTTTAATTTTAAAGTAAATATAAAAAAAAATCAAAAATATTGATTTTTGTGTGTTACATAGTATGTTGAATGCAGCACTGGTTCAGATTAGATGTTTGTGATGTCCAAATATAAAGTCTATAATTTCTTATGAAACAGAAACTCAAATCACCGATATTGACAAGCTAGAATGAAAAATAAGAGCCTCCTATCTTTTCTATTTGCTGAGATATCGCTACATTTAGTGAATCAAACACAGCAGCCCTGCCCACCTCTTTACATTTTGGAAATACTTGCTTAGATACACCTACTTCTGTCTGTAACGTGTGAATGACCAATCAAAAGTTCAAAATGTCCTCCAAGTGGTTTTCTGAGCCTCTGCAAAGTACTTATGAGGGAACCCATTTCTTTTCATGGTAGATTCCAAGTGGTGAGGTAAGACATTATTGAGCTCGAAAAATCATGTTTTTTAGACCCAAATACAGTTTAGTTACTATGCCTGATAAATTATGGTGGAATTCTGTGGTATTGATATAGTAATTTATGATTTTTTGTTATTCCAAAATGCATATATAAAACCAAAAAAAACTATTTTGTTTTACATTCTCCATGTGCTAAATTTGATAAGGTTCAGTATATTTCAGCAATCAGCAAAAAAGTACAAAGTTTATAACTAGAAGAGATAACTGTTTTCTATAATTTATTATTTACTATTCTATGTTTTAAGAAAAATAAATAAAATTTAAGAACTTATTTGTAAATAATAATAATAATGCATATACATATGAACTAAAATGTGACTATGTTTTACAAAATAATAGTCCAGTTTTATATTATTGGATACGGTAACATGAGTGCCTTCTTATTCAACTTCTGTAATGTTAGTCAGATACTGTTGAAAGGTTAATAAAATAAAAATAATATATTTTTACATATGTATAATGTTATGAGATTTAAGCTACATAGAACAAACATTTGTGGTTTTGTGTCATAATTTTTAGTAATTCTAGAACGAAAAAAGCATAATTTATATCTATTTCCTATTTTTTTATGGTGGTTATGAGATTGGTCAAATCAACCAAACCCATACAGAGATACAATAGTGAAAATAACAGATAAAATTTAAAGCTTTTTTCTAAAAAATGTTTGATAATTATCTGAAGGATATTAGGATGTTATAGCAATTCTGCAATTTGGCAATTTCCTCAAGCATAAAACTATTTTCAATCTTAAATCAAAATTACTTTGCATGTTGGATAGTCAACATTTAAAAATAAGAGATGCACAAGCAAATAATTAATTAAAAATGCTAAAACTTAATTCAAAATTTGATACTTTGATTAAAAATGCCTTGTAATATTACTGATAATCTGCAAAATTTCTTGAAAATATGTGTACATTTTAAAGTTACAGTATAACTGCTTTATGGTTACTTTGGGGAATACAGGCTGGGTGTAATCCACCCACCCATAGTAGAAGAGTTAAACTGAATGCAGATGAGAAATTTAAACATGTCTGTTAAGAAGAAGAATGAAGATTCTTGAGTGCACATAGATGTGTTTTGCTTTCCTATTGGTGAAGGGCTTTGTTGCATGATTGCATCATCATGCAGTAGCACAGTGCATGTGGCCTGAAGGCTAATGGCATGCAAGTCTCTAAAGTAGACATGTGGGGAAGATAGCTATTGTCTCAGAAATAGCTAGTAGTGAAATGTTGTCACAGGCCAGCCTCTGATCAGTAGTAAAGTATAATATGTAGCTTTATTTAATCATATTTACTGTGAATACATTGATATAAGCAAAATAAGAACACCAACCTGAATCTTAAATTCAACAAAAAGGAACTCAACCAGTTGCCGATCTTGATCATGAAGACCTGCATGATGTATACCAATACCAAAAGCTAAAGTCAGCTTTAAGTTCTGATCTCTTACGTCGTGAAGATAAGATTCCATCTGAAAGTTCAAAATAAACCAGCAAGTCAAACATAAAAATATAAGTAGCAAATTACATAAGATTACAATGAAAAAACATAATTTAAAAACTAAAATAACACACCTAGAATATACATAAAAAACAACAACTAAAGTTATTCAAAACAGTGAAAAGTATAAAATGTGATATAAAAACAGTAATTTGTAAAGGCTAAAATAAACAGGAATATTAAGTGTTAAAACTAACAACCAAATGAACTACAATAAATTTAATAAAAAATACAGTAGGTAATGGAGGGTAAGCAGAACTTGGATTCAAAAGGAAATATAGATATTTAGAATATGAATAATAAAAAAGGATGTGAAAAAAAACATAAACTAACATAAACAGAGACCATGTTATCCATTAACAAATTACATTTTTTAAACACTCTTTCTAAAAATCTGTATTTTCAAATGTAACACCTACTTTTCTACATACTATATCAAAATTTATTTCTAATGCAGCATTATGTCAGTTTAACTAAGTTAACATTCAAATAGCAATGAGTCACTTACAGTGCCTCTTGACTAACACCCAAACACCACACAGATGCAAAGAGGTATATGAGATATTATCATTAAGTATGGTAGTACTTAAGAGTAGGGATCATAACTAAATAAAATGGCAGCCATAAAAATTGCCCATTTAAAACCATTTTAAAATGTCTGAATATTAACAATGACTATTACACAGTATTGGCTGACCAAAACTAAAGCTTACTGTACTTATAAAGCTGCCTAAATTACCATATATGTCTTTATGGAGTGAATCAAAATTTGGCTATTTAAACATATTTTCATCTGAGTAAGTAAGTGTCTTTTCCAGACAAGTGTACAGAAAAAATTATAAACCTTATCATTGTAATTCTTTCAGTGAACTCTTCTATCTGGGGTTCTAATGATTCCGTTCTTGTACCAAAAAGGATACTAGTATATATAATGGACTATGCACTACTTTGGGCAAATAATTAGATTTGGGGATAGGTTGATAGAGATCCTGATGAGTAATAAATTCAAACTGGGTATTGTTTGGTATTGCTGGCACACAAAAATATAGTTAATAAAAAGGGAAAAAACAAGTATAATAAAAAATTGTAACTTTTATAAAGATAAGTAGGAATCAATATATACATAAACTAGCTAGCTATAGTAATATAGAAAATTTTATTGCCACAAAAAAGTGTCGAAACAAGAAATACAAAACTAGAAAAATTGTATTACTTAAACTTTAATAAAAATCTATCCATACTTTGGCTCAAAATAATATAATTACAGTGATATGCCAAAGTAGACATAAAGTTTATATTTTAAGTAACTAAGTTTTGTAGTTTTGACTGTCTTGTTTCAATACATTTTGTAGCATCAAAGCTAAAATATTTTCTCTGCTAAAGTATTAAAAACTAAAAAAAGATTACAAAAGATTAGAATATAAAAAATGCAAATTAGTATACACAAAACAGACAAATTAGTACTGTGAAGAACAAAACTAGAATATGATGGGAAAATGAGCTAGAACATACATAATAAAACATACTAACACCAATACATAAGAATAAATTACATTAAGTAATAGTTAAAAACTTAAGGGAATGAATAATACAAGAAAATAAATAAGATTATGAAAGGAAAACTTATGAAGTCATAAAAGTTAATATCTTCCTACACTGAAAAAATATCACCTCCTGTCACATGATAGCTATTCTCATTCAGTGCTGCTCTCTACAAGCCTTGAAACTCCCACATACCCCATGATTAACATGGTTCACTACATCTTTGCATGTTAATTATCATGTGACAACCCTCCACCAATAGGACACACCCTCCTGATGCACATAACTTACTATTCAATTCTACCTAACCATCACTTTGAGATTAGGCAAAAAGTAAGCAAAGGTTTTAAGTGGTGAGAAAGGGTGGGAAGTGTGAGAATCCATTATAAATATATTTTCAGTGCAGGAAAATAATAACTTCCGATACAGTACTTTACCACTTCCTACATAATAACTAGAATTCAACATTGAAAATGTGAATGGCCTGGTGTGAGGGATATAGATAAGTGTCTGAAGAATACATGTGGAGCGTAAATGAACTCCTGTTGGGAAAGGAACACACATGGGAGACTGCACCACTTCTGTGCCATATATATTCTTCACCCAGTGTGATAGAAGGTGTCACATACACTGACAGAAATTGGGAAGAGCACATCCAATGAATGAGAGAAAAAAGCTGGATGGGCCCAACCCCATATGGCACTGAAATCACCAGAATCATAGTATCATAGTCCAGGATAAGAATGAATGTAACCACAGATCAGATGGGGGAGCTAAAATGGATGTGCACCTTGGTGTAGAGTGGCTAGGGCAAGTCTGACTGTACTCAGCAGGTTAACTCCAGTCCAAAACCAGACAGCATCAGGCATACATAATCCAACTTGTGGTAGGAGGAGGGTCCACACCATCTTTACCTCAAGTTGAGTAGAACAGAAGGATAAAAATTCCATACTGGTTAACTAAACATGGCACATGTGCTCAATTCCACAATCAATACCAGTCATCCAGGAACATGACATCTAAATGACGGTAGGAAGGGATGTGCCAATATGGCAGTTTACTGCAAATCCAAAACTAATTAGACCAGCTCCACTTTATGCAACATCTTCCCCAAGTAGTGAACATTCACCATGCACAACATCATCCTCTGAATAGGACTGCGCAGAAGTTACAGTACATGAATGACTAGCAACTAAAGAGCTGGGGTAAATCAAACCAGATGTGTCCAACAAAACTCCAGGAATCACTTCACCGAGGTGGAAAACATGAGACAAAAACCTGTGACCAAAGTAGGATGAGGAATCACAACCAACATGTGTGTGAAGATTTATGTTGATCAGTCCATTTCTAATCCAAAAATATTCAATGGGAACCAACATTCAATCGAAGGTAGAACAAGGAATCCCAATTGGAGAGGTGATCTGCAACATGGCAGATCTACTTGAATCCATGGAATATTCTATTGTGATATATGTGCAACATTATCCCCCAGATAGGACCCCAAAGAAGCTGGAACACACAGACACAAAAGATCAACCTATGTAACCCACCACAAAGAGGTATAATGCACAAGTAGAACATCAACTCCGGCAGAACACCACTGACCTACTCTCTACTGAATGGAAATGAGCACTTTCAGAAGATTGCCTCCATGGCCCATCACCCTAGCAGCTAGGAACTGGAAAGTGGCAAGGACTCTCATAATCCACTAGAAGACATTGGGAGGGAGAAACAAAGTGAAGAGTCCAGAGGAATGCTGACTCTGCAGACAGTGCAATGGGTAACCACAAAATCTCTATTTTGAAAAGCATACTGCCCCTGATTTATTCAATAGAAGGGTTGGCAGGAATGGGCATCAATCTCTTTCTGCTTTGCCCATGAAAGTATATGAGGTAGTACGGTCTTGAACAGACAAGTGGATGAAGCAAAATACTGGAAAACTTACCAGTGATCTTGTGGAACTTCCCATCTCAACAGTATATGTTATTGGCCATGGGTATACCTCAAGATTGGTAGGATTAGCCTCCACTTGAAGACATCCCATACAACCCTTGCCAAACTACCCCAAGGAACATCATCCTCTAGGGGCCCAATCCCATGTAGGTGGAGTGTCAGGAGTAGCCATATGTAACCCATGCAATATCATGCTTTGGATTGGATCTCACAGTGGTTGGAGTGCATGTATCACCAGCAGATGTCCTGAGTATTCACAGCCTGCAAAACAATCAGAGCCAGAACCACACAACATCAACCTCAGGGATCCACTGCATTGAGGTGGTCATACTGAGACACTAGGCAGTTGATAATATACCCCTATATGACTTATGGTTGGCCATACAGTGTGAATTTTTGGAATGGATAGATAAGTTGCATACTTAGACAGGCAATGCTTCCTGCTAAGTGGGATCATAGACCTAAAAGGGAGATGCCACTGTAATCAAAAGTAATATATAGAAAAAGATAACTTATCAAGTCACTGTCAAACCCATGTGTGAAGGTTGACAACAAGTGGAAGGCAGTACCCAGATGAGAAAGAAACAGAAACCTGATAAAGTAGTGGGGGATGAAAGTATGAGGTGTCGTCCACATGCCTGAATTTACTCCAACAGACAATGGAGGTGAGATACCAGGGGGGAGGTAATGTGACATATCTGATACGACAACACTTGGAACAAACTGTGGGAAGAAGGAGAAAAAGAGGAATACACCAGTCTAAAAAGCTGATGAACCCAACCTGTAAGTGTAGAAGGAGTAAAGTCATGTAAGGAAGAAAAGTTCCAGGGAATGAAAAGGTGGGATCGGGAATCACAGAAGAAGGCCATGCTGGCACTATAATAATGAAGAGCATGGATGAGACATAGAAGTCTATCCAGATCAAACCAGTAACACCAAAGATAAGAAAAGAAAGGAAGAGAAATCACCATAAATGAAGAATGTCCATCATAAGTTTTGGGCAGGAAACATTGATCCAAATGAAGGAGAACTTATGTGGAAAAGAACAAAGTACATGAAACGTGGATGGCAAAGATATCAGACTGATGAGGCCCACAGGCTAAAAGGAGTAGCAAAAAGTCTTATGCGATAGGTGATACAGTGAACAGGAGGACAAAGGTTCAAACTGAGGGAGTGTGAGACAGTGAAGAACAAAGTTGACCTTCTAATCCAAAAGAACCACCTGATGAGGAGGTTGATGAATCCGGAAGGAACACAGTAAAAGGGAGATGGTAGAAGAGGAAAACACAACACGGTACCTGGAAAAATGGAAGGTGCTGGACAAAGTTGCTCAATAACCCACAGCGGAAGAGACAGAAGCCCCAGAGTTGAACAGTCGGGTAAGAAAATCCGTAAGGATAGGTACAGTGGGCCAAGAAGAGAAAACCCCATGACTTCATGGTGGAAAACGTTTCACTTATGTTGATAAATCACATTGGAGGAAGGGCAAACAGACTGGGCTAAAAAGGAAGCAATATGCACAAGCAATCTGGATATTCTCACAAGGGACCAGATAAATGCCAGGTGTGAAGCCAGAGGGTGTGAAGGGCAGGATGAAGGACTGATGACTGAGGTTGAAGAAGAAGGGATGGAGGGAGAGGATAAGGTAATAGGGGGGTAAGGTGGATCTGAGGAAGAAGAGGCAACCAAGGTTGTGCCAGCAATCAGAAGGCCCTGACACAGAGTGAAATAGATGAGAGAAACCATGCTGGGAAGGAGCCAGATAGAAGGGTAGACATAAAGGTACTTGATGGTCCAGTCCTGAACGAGAGCATCTGCTGAACTGGAGACCAAAAAAGAGGTAACTGGGTGTTGAGGGAAGTGGCAAAAGGATCCAGATGAGGAATACCCCACTTATTGCAATGCCACAGGAAATTTGAGGATCAAGGGACCACTCCATGGGGTAAATATGAGCAGGTCGAAAAAATGATCCACCACAAGGTTTAAAGCACCCACAACATGGCATGCTAGATGTATCTACAGTATGAGGGCCCAATAAAGTAGTTCCAATGTTCAACCATAAAGGGAATGAGAACAGGTACTTCCTCGGTGATTGATTTTGGAGACAACACTGGAATTGTCTGAATGCATCATGACAAGTCTGTTCTGTACAATGAAAGAAAATTATCGAAAGCCAGAGGCTCAAAGATGTTGATATGGTAGGCTCATTCAAGCTGAGACCACTGTACAGAAGCCTCCTGCTAATTGATCCATACACCTCAACCACATATAGAAGCATCAGTACCCCACTATAATGTTGTTCTTAGTGAACCACCAATGGAGCTCATCTAGAATGGAAGGAGGGTAATTGGAGAAACCTAGAGAATGCATATGTGCATAACCTAAAGGGATAAAAGCTGCCTTGGAAGCCCAAGTCCCAAAAAGCTATAAAACCTTGAGTGCAGAAAGTGTGGAGAACTGAAAGCTCCATCAAATGCAAATGAAGTGGAGAAGGTTGGAGAAGGAAAGTGTTAAAAAACACACCAAAGTGAACAAGATATTGGGTAGGAAGAAGGAAAGACCCACACGACAATGTAGTTGAGAAGACTCAAGCTTGGAAGGAGCTAACAGGAGCCAGTCATCCATTTAGTGGTGGAAGCAAAACCCCCGATCACGCAAAAGTTGGGAAAAAGCTGTAACCACCCAACAAAACAAATACGGCACTGAGGCAAGCCCAAAGGGTAGGAGCCAAACTGAAATACAACCCTGTTGTGGACAAATCAATGATAATGACTGGACTAATAGGGATATGGAGATAATCATCCAAGATGTTCAACCTTGGTCAACCACAAACCTGGAGAAAAACTCACCAAGAGGTGAGAAAAGATTCCATGGCAAAGAGGGAAAGGTCCAGAAATTGGTTGAGGGGGGGGGGCAGATTTATCACAGGATGCCAGTCCCTAGTCTTATTGGGGATGACAAAAAAGCCTGAAGAAAGAAGACTGGCAGGTACTATAGCATGTTTTTGAAAGAAAAGTCCAAACAGCTTTGGAAAGTCTTTGACTTGTAATGGGATCCCAAGGTAATGGAAAGGACACTGAAACTGGAGACAAAAAGAGTTGGTTAGAAAAATATTGGTGAAAGTCCATCTAACAAACCCCGGATCATCCATGGGTCAGGAGTGAATTTCTCCCACAGGTGAACAACTTTGAACAAATGTGCTCCTTCTGGGCAGTGAGGAGAATGCACAATATGTACTCTACACTCGAGAGAGGGAGGAAAGAAAAGGTAATCAGATGACAGGCTGGCATGTAGCTTTTTAAGGACAGGGTCATACAAAATAAAGCATTCAGAAACATGTAACAAACCTGGGAAAACGTATCCATAAAAGCTGAGATAGGCAAAGCATATTATACAAGAGAGGTATAGGTATTAAAAAAATGCTGTCAAAATCCTTCTAATCATGAACAGGCACTACAGGGACAGGAGGATCTTGGACAAAGTCGGGAAAAGAGGGACGAGACACATAAAAGTAAAATTCATGCTCCCTGCAAATGATGGCCAAAAAATCTCCAGTCAAAACCTCCACACCATAAGCCTGTGTTACAACAATCAAATTATTGTTAATTGCAGCTAAAGTCATTACACAAAATTCCAAGTACATAAGAAATAACAAAATAAAGTTAAGTTTTCTTGACCATAAACTACAGCGAATAAACTGTATAAAAAAGTTAGCAAAATCTTGAAAGCACTACTTCAGAAATAGATAAAAAAAAAAGCCTAACATGAAGTGATGGCTATATAGAATCAAGTAGAGGGAGTCACATGCATCAGGAGGGTATGTTGTACTCCTATTGGTGAAGGGTTGTTGCATGATGAGTTACATGCAAAGATGAAGTGAACTACATTGATCATTGGGTAGGTGGGAGTTTCAAGGTTTGTGGTATAAGAAAAAACTTTGCATAAAGAGGGCAGCACTTACTGAGAATAGCTATTATGTGAGAGAAAGTAAGGTACCATATTAGAAGATTACAATATACTAAAATATGAAGAATCTAATTAATGCACACAAAAAATTTAATGTGAATATAGAAACCAACATCACACTAAAGCTAAACTAAATTGTGCAAAATACAATAAACATAAGTAAGGAAATTAGAACAAATATGAATATGAAAAATAGTATGAAATCACTATACTAAGAGTTAAAATATTACCACATACCAAGAATAAGACTAATTAAATATGAAAAACTAGAGAATCTATAACACAAAAGGTGAAGCTTATTTTATATTTTTGTCATTAGTATTCCATTCCAGTTTTTCAAATAACAATAATGTGGTTAATATTTTCTCAACTACTTATATTTAACATATTGTTACGTCTCCGTTCGTTAGTTGATTTTCCATAACTTC